AATAAAAATACAAATTTTTTTCCACACATTTTGCAATTTAAATTTTTGAAAACGGACGTAGTTAACTCAATCAATAAAGGAAAAAATATATGTACAACGTCTACATTAGATAGAACATTTTATATAATAGTTCAGAATCTTTATAAATAAGACTAATATGTTTACAACTACAAATGAGCATGAATTTTGATTTCTAAAGTATCCAAATTAAAAAATTTATTAGCTTAATCTGGTTCTTTATTTAAGGAAATTAAAAATTTGAAAAAGTTTCAGAATATTATAAATTTTAATTTTTTAACAAGTTGAAAATGTGATAAATATTAAAACTTTAAAAAGCTGAAAATTCTGATATTTTATTTAAGTTTTAGAAAATATTAAAATAATGAAAATATTTAAACTCTACAAAAATTAAAAGTATTATTAATATTTTAACTCTACAAATATTTAAAATATAATAATATTGTAGATAAATATGATTGAACGGGTTTTAGTTTACATAAATATGATTATATTTTTCTGCGGATTGTCTATATTTAAAATCTTTTATGGGTTAAGGTAAAATATAATTTTTTATTTACAACAAAATCGTCTTGCGATGTACCGCGGGTTTACCACATACATATATGAATCTACTTATAATACGAATTTATAAAATTATATTAAATTTAAATGAAATAAACATATACAAAACTAAATTATAAAAATCAACTACGAAAATGATCGACCAAAGAAATATATTAAATTATGGACCCGTGGTGTACCACGGGGTAAATCCTAGTACAGACTTAAGAAAATAATGGGAAAATGTTATTCGGGAAAAAAGTTAGACCGAAGCAAACCAAACCAAACCAAACCGAAATATATGAAATCAAAAACCGGATTAGCTTGGATCGAAGAACAAGGCGAGGGAGCGTCTCCACGGTTTCCGTCGTCCGTAATTAATCGAGCTGTGTGTAATCGATCCGACGACGACGAAGAAGAAGAAAAGCTGCAAATTTCAAGTCTTAAAAATCCTGCAGAAAAAAATGAATGGTCACTGTTTATTTGCAGCCTCCCCTCCTCGTCTCTTGCCTCTTCGCTCAATATCGTCGAGCGTTTCTTCTTCTTCTTCTTCCGGTAGTTACAGAATCAGATTCTCCGATAGTGTCGCCGTTGAGTGTCGGAATCTCTGTTTCTCCGTTAGTACAAGACAAGGGATAACTGTTCCTGTTCTTCGAGATTGCTCCTTTCGAATTCCTTCTGGACAATTGTGGATGATTCTTGGTCCCAATGGCTGTGGCAAATCTACCCTTTTGAAGGTCTTTCTCATCTCTCTCTCTCTCTCTGCCTACATCTCTTCTTTTCCACAATCACTGCATTTGTTGATCAAAGACTAAGCTTTTGTTATTGAACTTGAACTGTCACTATTCTTAAGTCATCTTTGATCTTGTGTAGACTAATAAGTTTTGCTATTTGCTACCTAGACAGATTAAACTTTAAAGAGTCCTCTGTTTTATCATATACACTATAACATGAAACTGATTATAATGAATGCGGATACAATGTTTAATCTTCATAGACTTCTTGTATATCTCCAGATTTTAGCCGATGTTGTGAATCCAACCAGCGGTACTGTCTTTGTGGAGAAACCAAAAAATTTTGTATTTCAGAATCCTGATCATCAGGTTAGTTTTGTTGCTCTTACCATGTGTCTACTGTATTTGTTTGTTTTTTCTCAAAACGAAAGCAATGTTTCTAGTTTTGTTACTAACATTGAAAAGAAATCAATTTGTTGCCACTGCTGAGGCAGACTAGTTAGTAACAATTGGACATGCTAAGGTAATTACATTGAAACCTTCTTTTCAGGTAGTGATGCCTACAGTAGAAGCTGATGTGGCATTTGGTCTTGGCAAGTATCAGGACATGAATCCGGAACAAGTTAAGTCTAGAGTGATTAAAGCTTTGGATGCAGTTGGTATGCGTGATTATATGCAGGTCAGCTCATGTAAATTGCATAACCGAAGATATCTATGAGTGCTAGTTCTACATAAGAAAATTTAGATTCTGGTATTATTTTCCAGAGACCGATTCAAACTCTTAGTGGTGGTCAGAAACAAAGAGTTGCAATTGCTGGTGCTTTAGCTGAAGCTTGCAAAGTACTATTGTTGGATGAGCTCACAACTTTCCTAGATGAGTCTGACCAGGTAAGGTTTGATTAATTCTGACAAAAACTTGTTAAACACTAGTAATACTGGTAGACGACTATAAATAAATTATTTCAACAACTGCATATGGCTGTGTTGAGCTAATTTGATCTTGTTGTATGGTAGACATTGGAAAGCGTAACTTGTGCTGAGCTTCTCTTAATCGATGCATATTTTTTTTCTCGGGTTTTTTGGTTCTGCAGATGGGTGTGATCAAAGCTGTGAAAGGCCTGATAAATGCGAAGAAAGGAGATGTGACGGCATTATGGGTGACACATCGGTTAGAGGAGCTCGAGTATGCGGATGGAGCTGTGTATATGGAGAACGGGAGAGTGATCAGGCATGGTGATGCAGCCACCATCTCAGATTTCATCAAGGCTAAACAGTCGTTGTACATTGATCAAATTGGTTCGTAACTTCTTCTGTTACAGAATTTGCTTTCTTAATTGAAAAAAAGTGAAAGCATATATAGAGGCAATGAAAAGTCGTGATTTATTTTGTAAAAGATTCTGATCTCTGCAGAAGGTATTGTAGTTAGAGCTCAATTTTGGGTTTTGAATATTCATTAATTCAAAGGTTAGAGGGAAGACGATATGTTAAAAGTGAGTAGAATACTAGCAAACTCTGTATTTCGAAAGGGAAAATAAAGAAAGTTTATGTATAAAGAAACTTCAGATTTTTAAGTACGTCTTATTTTTTTTTTGTTAGAAATGAAACTAGAAAAATATACAAGAGTAAACATTTTGTGTATGTGTCACTATAGTCTTTTTCTCTTTTTTTTGGGACAAATATGTGTCACTATAGTCTAAGTCTAAATTGTATGTGCCGCCTAATTTTGACTATACTTCGTCAAAGGTGAAGCACAACAAAATATGTCTTTAGTCATGCTCGAATCCATCCGATGACATTAAAATAATTCCATCTAGGATCGTATTTTATCAACCTCACTACCGCTGAGTGTAACAGAAAATATTAAAATATATATGCTTAATTATTTGCGTAACTTGTAAAAGCACGTATAACATGTCTATTTACAGCAACCAAAGGTGATGGCTGCTATATACATATGTGTCATGTGTATACAAGACTTGTCCTTTGCATCTTCGAGAAATTAGGTGGGATGCAACAAAAAAATAAGCGTATTTTGGTAAATAATAAGAATGATCGTCAATTCAAGTTGGTTGCAAACTGATGTAGCTAGTGTGGCTGTTTTGAGTTCAGAATCATCATTAGTTTTTCTTGAAAACGGTTAATTTCTAACCTCGTATAAGATGCATATATACACATTCGCAAAGTCAGTATATTTAGAAATTGCTTACCATGAGTTAATAATATATCAGAATATTCTCTACATAAAATTAAGAAAAAGAAAACTAAAAGTTGAGGTTATAAATATGGAAGCATGTATAGAGAAACGTATAAGTACGTATGGCTCATGTTGGTAGCTAGTAGTACAAATCTATAGTGTAAGAAGTAAAAAGTAGTGAATAAAAATAAAATTTGGTTTATGTTTGGATGAGTATAATAACTATATTATATAAAAGATGATGAGGGTGTCTTGTAAAAAGAAGAAAAGTGACTTATCATCTATAACCCTAGAGAAGAGAAGAGAACCAAGACCAACCCTCTCTTTTTTATTCCTTTTTCTTCTTCTTTGTATTCATTTTCATCCTTTTTATCATTTCACCTTAGACTAATCCATCTTATTCCTCTTTCTTCAACAATTGCTTGGTTTTGATATTGGTGGAGATAGAGATAGCATCCATGGAAATGTCTAGAGGAAGCAACAGTTTTGACAGTAAGAAGCCTAGTTGCCAGAGAGGTCACTGGAGACCTGTTGAAGACGACAATCTCCGGCAACTCGTGGAACAGTACGGTCCCAAGAACTGGAATTTCATTGCTCAACATCTCTATGGGAGATCAGGTAACTAACATATTTTCTTATACTTCCCATATATATATAGTTTGTAGTAGATCTAAGTGTTTTACAAATAATTGAGTGATATACATGGATTCATAGGGAAAAGTTGTAGATTGAGATGGTATAACCAACTCGATCCGAACATCACCAAGAATCCTTTCACCGAGGAGGAAGAAGAGAGACTGCTTAAGGCTCATCGGATCCAGGGGAATCGTTGGGCCTCTATAGCTCGACTGTTCCCTGGGAGGACCGACAACGCTGTCAAGAACCATTTTCATGTAATCATGGCCAGACGCAAACGCGAAAACTCCTCTTCCATGGCTACTTCAACGTCCAACCAAACCTTGCATAATGTTTTGAGTCCTATTTCTACTGTAACAAGGCTTAATAGATCCCAGTTTGGGCTATGGAGGTATCAAAAGAATAAGAGTCGCGGTCTCTGGCCTTACTCTTTTGTTCCAGCCCCTCGAGATGATGAGTTTGGATCTTCCTCGGTGTCTAACATCCGCCACGAGATTTATCTTGAGAGAAGAACGTCGAAAGAGTTGGTGGATCATCACAATCACACATTTCACGGAGCAACAGAAGATCATAACAAGACTTCAGGTGAAGATGGACCATCTAAGGGAAATGATGTTGGGAAGAACAATGTTACTTTCATTGATTTTCTTGGTGTCGGATTAACTTCTTAGGTTGTTATATCACATCTTTAGCGATTTTTAAGGTTTAACTCATTAGGGTTAGCTATCATTTTCAGCCTTTTGCTTCCTTAAAACTCTCATACTGATCTTCTATCAATTACAACCCTCGTTTTCCATCCATTCAAAATCTATATCATATACTTAATTAGGTGTCTAGTAGTCTATTTATATTTGTGTATCACATGTACTTAAATTGGTACATATATATATATTCACGTACGTATACATATTCGTATGTGGGTGCATGTTTGTGTTTATATGTTTATGCATGGTTAGTATATTGCATGGTTTGCTGTCTTATACAGAACCATATATATATATGTATAGCAAACATTATAGGGCGTAGATTTACATATTTGGTGTACTATTTACCAAATAACTATTGTATTGTGAAACTTGACTTGTGCGTCTATATGTGAGAGCTTGAATGATCAGGAAGCATATGTACGTTATATGGTATTGGGCAAAGGATAATTAATCATTTTCTTGTCTGCTTGTTCAACGAACGTGCTTAAAACCAAATTATATATATAGATTACTATCCGCTGCGGTCATCTAATTTCTTTTCGACTGTTAATATATTACCGGAACAATTAGCATTAAAACTATGCAAGTTAGCTGTACGTATTCATCAGTTCTAATATCTGAGGGATCGGAGACATATATATATAGCTGGAACTGGTTATCTTTTAAAGCTAATCTAGTCATCACCTAATGTGAATCAAATAAAATATATATACATTCTTTTGTTAGTTTCCGGTGTTAAGAAGCTTCTTTTTTTTTAAGTTTAGCTAATTAGTGAATCTCGACCACGACAAATATATATATATAGTTAGAGTTACGTTATTACAGTTAATTAACTAATTTGGCTTCGAAGCTGATCTTACGAGGATGATGAGCTTTTAAGGACAGGCATACGCCTTAATCATGCTTTTCCTTCTTACTCAGCACGGTTGAACCTGGTATAACGCGATACTCATTAGTATTCTGTATATCATTTTATTCGATTTTTTTTTTTTTTTTTTTTTTTTTTTTTTTTTTTTTTTTTTGTAATTGTGATATTGCAAAAATGATGAAGAAGATACAATACGGGAGGCATAGGTAAGTATATATGTGCAGAAATGAGAAGTCTTGAATTTAAGTTTATACGCACTAGTGTGTTCATATGTAAAAGCACATGTGTTTAATTTGACATATTATATAATAAACAAAAAAAAAATCATGTTGTCTTAATGTGGTTTCTACAAATTTTTATAAAATCATATAAGTATTTGGGATGGTTTGTGATATATATCAACTTTTTTTGCAGAATTTCCATGTATATCGTTTCAACATCATTGTATTTATTAGATATATTGCCAATTGTAAAATGATTATCTAATTATCAGAACCAAAATATTTAACTGTATTCATTAAAATATGTGAAAACATTTTACAAATGATTAATCAAATTTCCATAACAAAAGAGAGAGATTTTTGACTATCTTACAATAGACAAAAATAACGATGGCTTGATATTTTCATTCCAAGATTAACTCTTTACGTTAAGTCGAAAAACTAATTGATTGACCAAGGACGACGCTTTCACGCACCTAAACGCAATACTTTTTGTAAATACAAACGGTGTGGAAGACAATGACAATGACAATGACGGTAACAATGAATAAGAATAATCTTTATGGAACATTTCAAACGTATATTGAGATCGTTACACCATGTATGTATGTATAAAAAGAATCAAGATTCACAAACAAGATCCAAAGAATAATTGTGTTAAGGAAAAACCAAGATGACATTTTTTCAAAGTGACCATGAATCTTCCGCCCAAAAAAACCATTGCTTCAAACTCATGGCCTCTTCTATCATCACATGGAAATTCTCAATAAATCTCAAAAAACTCATCTATGAACAACACACTGAGATATTGAACCTTTCCTCTGCAACAACTGTGGACATGACAGAGGAAATACGCCACTCGCGTAGCCGGAAACATCCTTGCATTTCCATTTCTCGGTCTGCGGTAACCCAATAAGTGTAACATTTCTCAGACATATGTCTTGAAACAACGTGCCTTCAACACCTAGCAACATCGGGGCCTTTCTCGAATTCAGACTTACTACATTGCTGATATAAATCCCTTTTACTCTAGGAAGAGCTTTCGGATCCCATTTGTCGTCCGAGTGATCATTTGAGCCACTGCTGAATCTGATTGGAACTTTCACTTTCTCCAATAAAACATTATTGAACACGATATTCGAGATGTATCCGCCTCTTCCTTTATCTGTTTTTATGCGGAGCCCAGCTGCGGAATCCCAGACGTGAATATCTTCGACGGTTATGTTGAAAATCCCACCAGACATCTCACTGCCTATTCCAACTCCTGAACAAGTGCGAGTAGTACCAGAGATCCTTCGGATTACAATGTTTGAACTTGGACGTGCCACAGCCATTCCATACTGGTCCCAACCGCTCTTTACAGCTACAAGGTCATCACCACTTTCAATGTAACAGTCCTCAATGCAGACATTTGTGCTTGAGTCTGCAAGATATGGTACGTAAGCATGATTTGTGGTGATGAATGAGATAAGGGTAATACAGAATAGAGCATTTACCTGGGTCTATACCATCGGTGTTAGGTGCATTCATCGGAGCAAGGATGGTCATATTTCTAATAACAACATTACTGCAAAACAAAAGTTCCACAGGTCATCACACTTGTGACACAGCAGCATCAACGCATGAAAAAAAAGTTGGAAGGAACTAAGAACCTGCAATAAACAGGGTGGATTGTCCAGAAAGGAGAATTAAGCAATGTGAGATTAGAGATGAGGATATTATGAGAGTTCTTGAGTTCAATAAGATGGCCTCTCGTGTGCACCAATGTTCTGTTCCACCATAACTCCCACCACATCTTCCCCTGTCCATCTATTGTTCCATTTTCTCCTGCAGAATTTTTCCAAAAGCCAAGAAGTTAAATTCTAGAGAACTTCAAACTCTCCTAAACCATAAAACCAGAAACAGCGTGACCCAAACAAAATGTCTGAAATCATCATCTTTATTCTTAACAGTCTCCGTTTCCACTTATTTACAGCTGATATCTATCCTCTAATGCTTATCAGATTACCAATAGTTTACAACCATCAACCAAACACCACATACTCGGATACTGGATAGGATTCTAGAATGTTAATTTCAAAGATAGAGACATTGAAGTTAATATTGTTAACAAAGCAAAGAAAGCAGGCCAAATTTTTAAGTAAAACCCAACAGTCCATACAAGCTCTAATGATAACACAAATTCCGTAAGAGCAAAAGTACCAGTAATGACAACATTAGTGAGGTTGTCTCCATGAATGAGGCTAATGTGTCTACCACCAGGCCTCTCTCTCCCTCTTCCATAAGAAGGCAATGGCTCTATTATCGGCCATTCGTCAATGTCCTATCAAACCATAATCCCAGACAAAAAAAAAGTATCAATATTGTAATTACAACGCAAACTTACGAATGAAAAAGAAGCAGATAAAGTATCTATATTAGTAGAAATGACTTTTGAGTTTACAGGACACATGTGAAGATGTGCTAAATACACACCAGCAGACAAAAAATTTAAACAAAAATCAAAACTTGACAGCAAAAATTAGGAATAATTTAATATATATTAGGAGACAACAAAAGTAATCTGATTAGATCTAATTCGTACATGAACATGCTTCAGACAAAAGTTGTCTATACATCTAACTCTTCTTGGAATCTAATCATATAAAAAAAATGGTTGATTTCACTTCTCCCCAGACTTCATTTTTATTTAAAGCTATTATTGACATCACAAACACATACCTCCATTTAAACAAGTCCAGTCATGCAAAACAGTGATTCTTGATTTCAACTAGTCAATTTTCCACTCTTAAGACTATTCCACTAAAAAATAACAGTTTTTGTTGCTGTGTCAAACGATGATGGGTCCATGTTAACCACTGACCGTGATTAGCGTAATCAATATTCAATAGTGTTTGTTTACCAGCAAAAACTACTTTATGAACCGACGAATCAAAAAGCAATCAAAACCCCTCCAAGTTCTGGACTCTCGCATATCAATCATCAAATGCTCAACAGAGACATTAAAACTAATTGGGTTCTCTTTAAACTGTAAACAACAAAACGAAAAAACGAAAACTTTACAGAATTCAAAAATATATATAAATTAGAAGAATGGTACCTTGGATCCCAAAATCACAGCGCCTTGTTCGAGAAAGAGCGTGAAATTGCTGGTGAGGTTGAAGCTTCCAGAGAGCCACGTGCCCTTTGGGACATTGAGCTGGACACCACCCTCTGCCGCAAAACCTGCAAGGTGCCCTACGGCGCGGCGGAAAGCCGCCGTGTTAGACCTCTTGCCGTCGCCGACACCGCCGAAATCGGTGATCGACATGACGATCCGGTTGGGAGACGGGTCGGGGTTAAAAAACCCGGAGCAGGTGGGCGGGTCATACTGAGAAGCCGGGATCCAGAGAGGGAGAAAAGAATTGGAAGAGATTTGGAGAGAGAGAATGGCTAAGACGGTGAAAACAAGGAGAAGAAACGCCCACGAAGGTCTTGTAATGGCGGTCAATACGGTGGTGGGATTCTTCTCCGATTCCATTGGCTTCAGAACAGAGAAACTCAATAGCCCATGAAGAAGCTCTCTCAGATGATTACGAACAGAAGAACACTAAAGTATAACTTTTTGATGGTTGGAAAGAAGAAAGAAAAAGAGAATTTGCATGTGTGCGCAAATGATTATTAGATTAGATTAGAGATATCGATAGATACCTTACCTCCCTGAAACTCGACACACTCTCTTTGCTTCTTTTGCTATAAAAATAGAAAAGAAAAAAAAAAGGTGTAATAGAAAGGGAAAAATAGTAGGATACAGACACAGATGTGTCGTGAAGAGGGCACTACTAATATGTGTGTGGATGGTGCATGTGAAGGGCCAAAAGCCAAAGGTGGAAGGAGAAAGTGAAAAATATTCAGAAATAAAAATTATCTTATACAATATAAGCGAAGATGATGGATGACATCCAAAAAAAAAGAGAGATGAGATTCACGGGTACGATTGTGAGGCGTTACAATCTCGTCATCAGACTTGCAAGTCTTAATCTATGGGCCTTGAAAATTGGTCATCAGACTGGGTTGTTGTTTTTTTTTCTCTCTTACGACAAAACCAGGTAATATGTCCGTATTCTGATTGCTGGCAAACACACACATTTTTTTTTTTTTTTTTTTTCAAACACACACATTATAATGTCCGTATGTGTTAATTTCAACTTATTTTAAATCCTTCTATATAGTTATATGAAACAAGAATGTCAAATTCTTTCTTTTTCTTTCTGTATTTATATCATGGAATGAAGAATGAAAAAAACAAAAAAAAATCGTTTTTGTTGTTCTGTAATAACCTTGAGAAGAATTTTTTTTTAAAAAGGGTTTAAAAAGTGTATTTGTAGGCGTCGCCATTAGCGGCGTTCCTAAATGGACTAGTTTTAACAAGCCCACAAAACAATAGAAGCCCGGAGATAATAAAAATACTGAATTGGGCCTGTTAGAAATTACTAGGATAGTGGATGGTGATGATGGTGCATATAAGTCGCTATCATCATCACCATGGATGGATGGATGGATGATGGATAACGAAGCAAGAACATAACCAACATGATTCCGAATGAAGTCGTGCGTCTTTGACTTTGACTAGCTTATAAAAAGCTTTTGAAATGCTGTTCCACGTCATCAATACCTTGTCGTTTTCTCAATCTTACTTTGCCTTTAATGTCATTTTTCTTTTTTTAATTTTCACTGTACACCAAACTCAACCCAGTAATAATAAGAAAGACAATTCTTAAGTACTTTGTTTTTGTTGTCTTAATCTTTTTTTTTTCTTATTCAGCAATTTCGTCTTCCTTCCTCCGATAACTTGGTTTCTCTTCTCTGTTTTATTTCTTCTTTTTTTAGTATTTTCCAGGAACTATCTTCTTCTTCCTCTTTCGTTTTCTCAAAACTGGGCTTCTCTTTGAGTCAACGGTCAGCGATCTCGGCGTTTTCAAAATCGGAAAATCTAGCTGCGGCTTTGCTTTTGATTTCCTTCGATTTGGTTTCCTTTTTTCTTCTTCAAATTAAGTCAACGGGTGAATACGCGTTGAGAGGGCTTTTCTCTTATTCTGCTTCTGATTTCTTCATCTTGGGATTTCCTTTGTGTGGTAGTAGCTTAATCGAGTATTTCAAGATCCCTTTTTTCTTTTTGGGTGTGGGGTTAAAGCAATGATGGATCTTTCTCTGATGATTATCTGTGGAGGAGTATTTTAGGGTTTTTTTGTTAATCTGGGATATAATGGAACGACGATTGATTCCTGGCTTCTTCTGGCTTATTTTGGTTTTGGATTTGGTTCTCAGAGTTGCGGGCAACGCCGAAGGTTTCCCCTTTTTCTCATTTTTCTTTATAATTTCATTCTTGTTCACTACTGCGAATTTGGCTGGTTCGATTTATATCATACTACTCTAGGTTTCCATTATTGGATCCTTACGATAACTTGTTCTCGCCTAAAGGAGGACACTTTCACTTATAAGCTGCTTGTTTTGCAGCACTTTGAGTTATATATTGTGTTACGTTTTTGTATCTGTTTCAACTGATTTAGTGATGCTGTGTCCTTGTTGACCCTTGATGATTGCAAAATTTAACTGCAGTTTTATTTTCTTCTTCTTTGGTAATTGTAGGTGATGCTCTCAGTGCATTGAAAAACAGTTTAGCTGACCCTAACAAGGTGCTTCAAAGTTGGGATGCTACTCTCGTTACTCCATGTACATGGTTTCATGTTACTTGCAATAGTGACAATAGTGTTACACGTGTGTAAGTTTCTCTCTGTATCTAGTAGCCCCATGATGATTTGGCTTTCTGCGTCTACTCAGAACTTCCTATGTTTGCTCAGTGACCTTGGGAATGCTAATCTATCTGGACAGCTCGTGATGCAACTTGGTCAGCTTCCAAACTTGCAGTACTTGTAAGCCATCTCTTCTTAATAAAGCCGTCTTTTAGTTTTTAGTGAATGTGTGCTCCTGTCTTTGATTTATCTGAAGCTACGTGGGTTTGAAAAAATGTGACAAAGTTCCATATAAATGTATAATTTTGCATTATCATATATTATTGACGAAGTGGTTATATATCTTCCGATTGAAATTAATATTGAAGACATGTAGTGGTTATATATCTCTCCGATAGAAATTAATATTGAAGACATGTAATTGCAGGGAGCTTTACAGCAATAACATTACTGGGACAATCCCTGAGCAGCTTGGAAGTTTGACGGAATTGGTGAGCTTGGATCTTTACTTGAACAATTTAAGCGGTCCTATCCCATCAACTCTCGGCCGGCTTAAGAAACTCCGTTTCTTGTATGCACTCTTATTTAACTCTCTTCTTTAATAAGCTCTTAATAAGCAGCCTAATTATTGACTTCAGTCTTCTTGATCGTGTTTGTCTTCCTTGAAAAGATATTCGTACAATGTGTTACATCTACCGGATTCAGAAATTAGTGTGGCAAGATAGATGCTAAGTTATTTTAACTAAATGAAAAGGTGTTCTCCTCTAGGAGATTGGGATGTTGTATAATATGGTAAAACTCTTGAGATTTTGTTAAAGGAATCAGCAGAACGTTATAGTCACAGATATTCTTGTGCTCACTTGATTCCACTAAAGCAACAAGATGTTGCCAAGTCAGAGTGACTGTTTGTTTGGTTGGACTAGTCTGCCACCTTTGTTGTTATCAATGGAAGTTTTTTGACTTGCTTAATTTGTACGAAACCGATATGCTTTTGGAAGGATGAAGTTCTATCAAAGATAAAAATATTCTTCTGCCTTAGGCTTTAAGCGTTAAATCCTGTTAGTGTGATTATTTGTAAGTACTCTGTATATTTAGAGAGTGAACGCATCTGTAGTTATTAAGAGGCTCACTAGAAAAATACACTTGTTTTTATTCACCTTAATATTTGTTGGATGAAATTTTAGAACAACCTCTATTTATGAAATGTATGTATATAAATATTAGTTCGTAAATGTTTGTCAGTATAAACTCATTACTGGTTTCCACTTATTCGTGACATGGTCTTTTGCTATTGGTGATTAGGCGTCTCAATAACAATAGCTTATCTGGAGAAATTCCAAGGTCTTTGACTGCTGTCTCGACGCTGCAAGTTCTGTGAGTGTAACTTTGTCTCTCTCAGATTCCTTCGTCATGTTTCTGATTATTGTTTGGCCAATCTTGGCATGAAGTCAGAAAATGATATCATCTTGAAATGCAGGGATCTCTCGAACAATCGTCTCACTGGAGATATTCCTGTTAATGGTTCCTTTTCACTATTCACTCCTATCAGGTTTTGCTTCTTGCCCCTAATTTAAATTTGGTGGGCAGGTCAGAATAATGGATTACTTATTTGAAAGTTGTCTGCAGTTTTGCCAACACCAATTTGACTCCCCTTCCTGCATCTCCGCCGCCTCCAATCTCCCCTACACCACCATCACCTGCAGGTTCATCTTTTTGTATATGCCTTTGTCTTTGAATTGGTACTTATAAGGCCTATCTGTTATGTACTAAGAAAGAAATTCTTCATATCATACTTGCAGGGAGTAATAGAATTACTGGAGCGATTGCGGGAGGAGTAGCTGCTGGAGCTGCACTTCTATTTGCTGTTCCAGCCATTGCACTTGCTTGGTGGCGCAGGAAAACACCACAGGACCACTTCTTTGATGTACCAGGTTAGCAAAACTTGATTTCCGTGTTTTCTTATTGAGAGATCTCTGGCTGATTTTTTTCTCTTACTGTCTTTTGCAGCTGAAGAGGACCCAGAGGTTCATCTAGGACAACTCAAGAGGTTTTCATTGCGTGAACTACAAGTGGCTTCAGATAATTTTAGCAACAAGAACATATTGGGTAGAGGTGGTTTTGGTAAAGTATATAAAGGTCGACTAGCCGATGGTACTTTAGTGGCGGTTAAAAGGCTGAAGGAGGAGCGTACCCAGGGTGGCGAACTGCAATTCCAAACTGAGGTTGAGATGATCAGTATGGCGGTTCATAGAAACTTGCTTCGGCTTCGTGGATTTTGCATGACTCCAACTGAAAGATTGCTTGTTTATCCGTACATGGCTAATGGAAGTGTTGCCTCTTGTTTAAGAGGTATCTCTCATCTTGTGCTCTTTACTTTACCTCCCAATTTCTCCACCATATTTCCTTCCAATGTTGCCTTTTTACCAATCCCTGGAATGCTCTATTCTTAGTTGGGCTTACCAAAATTCATGTGGCTTCTAGTTAGTGCGTCAACATTCAAAGACTAATGAACTATCAGGAAAAAATGAAATGAAATTCTGCATGGTAATACAGTCTTTTAACCAGTTTTCCCCAACTTCCAAACCTTGGAAATTATTTCAAGTTTATATCCATAGGCAGAGGTTTTGCTGGAGGGTAGTAGATATAGCTCTGCTAAGTTGACTGACTAGGGAAACTGATTTTAATTAATCGTTAAATATGTAATAATTTTATGTTTTATCTTCACCATAGAACGGCCTGAGTCCCAGCCACCACTTGACTGGCCAAAGAGACAGCGTATTGCGTTGGGATCAGCAAGGGGACTTGCATATTTACATGACCATTGCGACCCAAAGATCATTCATCGAGATGTGAAAGCTGCAAATATATTGTTGGACGAAGAGTTTGAAGCCGTGGTTGGGGACTTTGGACTCGCAAAACTCATGGACTACAAAGACACACATGTGACAACTGCAGTACGTGGTACAATTGGTCATATTGCCCCAGAGTACCTTTCTACAGGAAAATCATCAGAGAAAACCGATGTCTTCGGGTATGGAGTCATGCTTCTTGAGCTTATTACTGGACAAAGGGCCTTTGATCTTGCTCGCCTTGCGAATGACGATGATGTCATGCTACTAGACTGGGTATATACATGTGTTTCCCACTTGTATACTTTAATGATATGTGTTGCTTCTCTATTTGTGTTTAATTATGTGTGTTTGTTTGGTACCATCCAACAGGTGAAAGGGTTGTTAAAAGAGAAGAAGTTGGAAGCACTAGTAGATGTGGATCTTCAGGGTAATTACATAGACGAAGAAGTGGAGCAACTAATCCAAGTGGCTCTGCTCTGCACTCAGAGTTCACCAATGGAAAGACCCAAAATGTCTGAAGTTGTAAGAATGCTTGAAGGAGATGGTTTAGCAGAGAGATGGGAAGAATGGCAAAAGGAGGAAATGTTCAGACAAGATTTCAACTACCCAACCCATCATCCAGCCGTATCTGGCTGGATCATTGGCGATTCTACTTCTCAGATCGAAAACGAATACCCCTCAGGTCCAAGATAGGATTTGAACACGGATGCTTTCTCTGTCTTTTGTATTTTTTGTTTTTGTTTTGTGTATTTATTGAGGGTTTTAGTTTCTCCTTCTCCATATTATTGGTTCTTAAGTGAATACATGAGGATCAGATTGGGTTTGTAAGTGTCATATGAAAAGGGATTTGAATGTTGTTGAAAGCTAAAACCCAAACATGTCTTAAAAAGTTACTTGACGATTGTTGTGAATTCACATTTGTATCCCATTAACTGTTCTTTCTACCCCTGCATGCGTCAGGTCTCTTCTTCTGTATATTCATTACACTATTTTAACATACTACACATTTGGACATTTGATCGGGAACTCACATATAACAAGTATGTATACGTATTGTCTCATGCAAAAAAATAGGTATACATTACACAAACGATTTTACTATTCTCAAGTATGTATTTGTGAGATAAAAGCTTTATGAACCAAAATTAAATACAAGATATCCAAGTACGTATTATGTTTTGATGGATATCTAAAACCCACAATTCATCAATAGGTATACAACTGCATATTAAGGTACACGGATTTTACATGGGAGCATACAGGAGATTCGTGATTCCAAATATATGATAGAGTAGATATAATTAAAAGTAGCATGAATACATAAATCATAGCTAGATATGGCTAGACTAGTTAATGATCCGACAATTTTGACGGATTTCACCTTGAGAGCCAAGCTTAACATCAAGATTGCTCATTTTGCGCATGGCCTGTTGGAAATCAAAGAAGAACCTGGCTTGGTTAAGGGCATATCCATTAACGAGATTCCTGGTCCTTGGGGTGTTAAATAAGGTTTGGTCTGAAAACAGGACTCCTGATTTCCTCTGAAGTGCGTTGAAGTAAGCATTGTCGAAATCGTTGCGAGTCGCATCAAAGGGTTGCTCTGCGTTGTCACCCGCACTGCAAGTTTTGGAAAGAGTATTTGCAAAAGTCGAGTCCATTGAAGAGTCTGGGACCGTAAGTCTAGCCTTGAAGGAGGAGCATCTTGCAACTCCTAGGGTATGTGCTCCTATATATATTCCACAATATATTTAATATATAATAACTCTGAAAGTAATAATAAAACAATAAAGAACTCACCAGAGAGAGCGACAATGTCTTGTGGAGTGAAGCCACGTTGCCCAAAAGTTTGAATGAGTTCAGAGGCATTAAGAAAAGGTGAAGGTAGGTTTCTTGTATCTTCTATCTTCGATCTTTTACCATCAAATCTTCCTTTTGGTATGTCATAATATGGACCACCAGCCTAACAATTCCAATTACTGATCATTAGATTAAGTACACAAATTAATCATATAGTTAGTATATTCAAGGGTTAAAAATATTGATCAGTCTGGTTACCCAAAAGACAGCATCTCTAGCAGCCATGGCAATAATATCTGCGCAAGAAACAACTCCTGGACATCTATCCTCGATTTTCTCTTTTGCATCATCTATGATCTCGTAGCCACGTAGACTCAGGTTCGCAGGCGAATCCTTTTCAGCGGTGTTGTCTTTTGTTGAATCTAGCAGGATAGACGCGTCACATCCCTTATAAACAGGAAAAAAAAACAGCTTAAGTTCTGTAATGAGTTTTCTTACGTAAAACAACACGACTAATGAAATGAGAATATTGATAGAGAAAATGTTACCTCAATGAAACAGTCGTGGAACAACATACGGATAAGACCTGCGGCTAAAGTCGGATCGGCTCGAAGAGCATTGTTAACACTGTTCTTCACGATCTGTTCGGCGAAAGGACAGTTCATCATGTAGTAAGTCATACTTAAGCCTCTCGCATGAAAAGGAAACCCAACAATGGCATGCATCAACAGAACCACGCTCACTATATTTGCCCTAATCATCTTATTATTGTCTATCTTAACTCTTGTCAACATGATAATCAGTTTAATTAACTAAGCAGCTTCACTCTGTATATATCGCTTATATATATAGTACGAAGTCGCACTCAGAGACACTTCATATTGGAGTGGTTGGCATATATATATATACATCTATATTATTTGTGATTTGTGTATACATTGGTCCCATAATGAGGTGGATGCAGATTAAAGTTTGGGATAGTGGTCTATTGTGCTTTCCCGTTTACTCTTATCGTAGTGAAGATTATAGTTATTTTATTTCAAATGGCTGACCTAATTTGCATGTTATTGCATGAAAAGTGGCACGTCGTGTTGACACATACGACCATTTCTTTCCTTTACCAAAACTCGAATTCGCTTTGTCCACACAATTATTATTTCATAACACTAATACCCCATGTTAAAATAGAAAGAAAGGAAAACACCAATACCTCACGCTAGCTATAGCCGACCAAGTTTTAATTTAAGGATTTCATTATTTATATATATATATATATATGAATGTGAATTTCATGAACAAAATGAGAGAGTTTTGTGACTAATTAATTACAAAAAATGCTTAACCAATAGAAAATAGTTTATAATTTGTTGCCAAAAAGGTTAAGAACATGGTAATATATATGTTTATGAGAAGTCTCTTAAAAAAACGTTAGATTCCATAAAAATTCTTCAGTTTTCTTTAAGAATGTATGCATGGAGCTTGATGTTCCGTTTGTTTTGAACAACGAGACTTTTGGTTGTGGAGCTTGATGTATCCGTTTTGTTCAGATAAAGTATATATTTGTTTGAACAAAGAATTTCGATGAATCTTTATGGAATATCGAAATTAGCTTGATTTATATGAAACTGTGGACGGTGTAGAGATGAGTCCAACCTAGAAACTTGTCTACATTCTTGAAATCTAGACATTTTAGTGCTGAATAAGATAATGGCGGATTTGATATATCAGCAGCGACTAAATGCAAAAAAACTTAGATGCATCTCTCTCTTTTTGAAGAGAAGAACTCAAGAAAAAAAATGAAAAGTCAAAGGAGAAAGCGAGATATACATATATGTAGCTGGCTTCCATTAGCTAGCAGCAATGTCCGTAGAAATGGACAAGACAGTTTGGTATTTTTAATGTAACCCGCATGTCAATTTTCACTTTACCACTGAGTGCTTCCGACGCGGAACTTTTTAGTGGTACATTCTTCCACTTCCTTATCCGGTTAGGACAAGAACAGTAGTTTGGTCTTATAAATGATTATTCGTTTTTTCTTAATTTTGTGGTAAGTGTTCTACACTTCATGATACACTTGTACTGTTCTATAATATGTATATCCTATATCTTTTACACATTTCTTCACTACTTTTCTTAGCCTTGGTTTCAAATACGAAACAAATACAGTGTTTTGTAATCACATAATTTCATACCAGTAGTAAAACTGTATTACCGAACTCTGAAGAAGTATGAACTATTGTTTCTCTCTGTTTGATTTATTTTTTGGCCATAGTAAATATCGAATTATCTATATTTTGTTGATACGTACTTTATATTTTTTTATTTAGGAATTCCTTTAAGTTACTAGAAAACGTATAATGTTTTATAGTTTATTATTCTTAGTGGGTTTTAATTTTATAGAAAATATGAAAAGCTTTTATAAGAACTTTAGTGGAAACTAAATTATAATAAATTTTGTAATTGGTATACCACACACACACTTAAACTTTGACAATCTTAATTAAGCACATCATTAATTAACACCTACGTTTTTTCCATTGGTATTAGTCTCTCAAAATAAGAAAATAATCAACTTTTGAAGAGTATCTTTCTTCCTTTGCGCAAAAAAAAAAAAAACAAATGAGGGACATAAGACAATCACATCTCTATCTGGTCGACCATTTCCTTTTTGTTTTGTTTTGTTAACTTAAGAATAATACAAGAGCTCTCGATCTGATATTGTTCCTACTAAACGTCTTTGTATTTATGTTTTTATGTTTAAGTTTCTGAATAATCTTTGATATAAACTCATATCTCTATTTCATGAGATTTCTCAGTGGGATTAGATAATGCAGGTCCTTCCCACAGCTCCGCAAGATCCTTTCTCCGCCATGACATGAAGATCACCGGTCCTAATGTAGATGGTACCTGTATATACTCCACATCGAAAACGGGTTAAACATCATAATCTCACTATAATTCACACTGATCGAACTCATAAACATATACAAAAATGACTTCTTAGGACAGACATTGGATTTAAACTAGAAAGGTACTATCAACAAAATTTCGGTTAATCAAGTGTTGATAATTCTTTGTGATCAAATACATGTAAAATCTATACGTTTGATGCAACACCAGAGGGTAAAAGACGTTCAAAAGATAGAGATATATTACCAGATAAAGTAGAGCTGGCTGAGGTGAATGGGTCAATACACCTGCAGCTAGAGCTGCCACCAAGCCAATGGCGTATCCAGGAAGTGCATACCATATGTATTTGTGTCCCTTTGAAGATTTTAGATCACAAATATTCACCACGTCTCTAGTTTTCCGATAGTCAAAACAGAGGATCAAAGCCAAAAGCATTGCGGGGATAGCCTGGAACAATAAAATAACAAATTATCTTTTGCTTTCCGGTCAAAACAAAGACATGCCAATCGGAAAATCAAACAAGCGTTTAGAATGTACCATGTCACCAAGACCAAGCATCATGAACTCTGAGGCACTCACACCAGGCACTACACCTCCCAATAGGTTCCGAGGAAAAACAATTTTCACTGGCAGTTCCAGTTTCTTTGTTATCAATTGCAGTCCAGGAAGATTCAAGCTGTTAGCAACTGTGTGAACTGGGTTTGATGCTTGCTGGGTGGCCACAGCCACCATAACGTTAGCACCAAAGAATCTCTCAGAGAAGAAAACCCAGAATATGTCATATACAAAGAGACACCCGAGGAGCATCGCACATATTTTGATATTGGGCAGACGAACATGGCTGACAAAGGCAATACAAATGGAGATCCCAAGCAAATTGTTCAGTACCCAATGGCCAGAGATGAGCCATGCCACAACTGTCACAGCACAAGCCACAAGCAGCAATCCTTGGATTCTTGTAAACGATTTCGAGCAGCAGCGTGAGACGAAGGGATCAGACAGACCAAGTTGCGTCTTAATATATACCGCATATGGTGATAACCAATAAAAGAGAGATGAAACAGAAGCAATGGCTGTAAAGGCAGTCAGGAGCTGAGAGACAGAAGAGAAGAGATAGAACATAAGAAGCAAACTGCAAGAGCTCATTACTGGGATCATCAAGGCCTGGGAGCTATCTAGTGTTATGGAAGCTTCGGAGAAGTCGCGATTTCTCTCCATCTCTTTCCCATAGTTAAGTGCACGGAAAGCGGAAGCAAATGTCACGGTGACAGCTGTGACAATGAGAGTAGCTGGTGCAGGTTCTAGCAGATACAAAAGAGTCCATAGGGTTTCCATGACAAGAAAAGAGTTCTGTCCTTAAGATTATATTATATATATATATCCCCCGAAGCCTTGTACAAGCCTTGTACACATACAAGCCAAGTGAATGTATGAAATGCGTTAGAGATGCAATCACTTTCCACCAGACGTGAACCTGAGAGCAAAACATAAAAACCACACCAACAAACTCTTGTAAGCCACCTTAAAACAAGAAAAAAAAGGTACGTTTTTAGGAGCTTTAAAGAACAAGGGACATAAAAATTCACTGGATCACAAGACAAGACATGGTAACTGAACTAATGTATAAGTCTGTTACACAAATTCACACCTCAAAGAGATAAAGTTAATTTCTTTCGTACACCTGAAATTGTTTATAACCAGATTGACGTTAAGGAAACTCAGCTCTCTCCAAGTGTCTATTTTTAATTAACAAACCCAGAAATAAAAAAATCAAATTTTGGTATTTTTCGTGAATCAATTTCTCAAGGAATTTGTAGTTCATGTAAGGCTAAAACTTTGAGACCTGGTAACTAAGATATATTACAATCAGAAATGAATTCTTCTTCTCGGTAGCAACAATTATAATGTGGGAAACAAAGCAGCATCTCAGCTGAAGGAGAAGAAACGTAGCCAACGGAATGAAGGGAGAAATTAGATCGAGAGAGAAAGGAAGAGAAGCGGAGACTCTCACCTGAAAAAATCTAAACAACGGAGGAGACAGTGAAGTGAAGAAACCGAGAAAATTGGGATCTAGGTTTCAGTCGCAAGGTTGGGATCCTCTGTCATAACCAGAGGGCGAAGATTTTGTATTAAATTGTAGTATTAGGCTATTAGCTAACGTATTATTGCAATGTTCAAAACGATAGCGTATTGCGATAGGATATCAAACGGCCGCGTTTTAAGGTGAAGTCTACAACTGATTTTAGGAAAAAGAAAATGAATAATAAATCCGTTTTTTTTTTTCCAAAGAAACATCCTTTATACTATAAAGCACAAGTCACCATACCAATTAAATTTTGACATGTCAGCAAAAATATTAAATATATTTTGAAAAAATAAAAAGATTTAGATAAAAATGAAAATGGCCCTAAATTTTCTCTCAGCACCACCACGTTCAAGATCATGTCACGATCTCAAACCGTCTCATATCCAATTTAACTCTCCGTTAACTCAACTTATTATCTAATTTATCAAGCTCTCTCTCTCTCTCGCGGTCTCGCTCACTCTTCCTCTCCATCTTTTTCTTTTCTTATAATTCTAAGATGCATCCAAATATTGTTTTGGTTGTTTATGATAAAATGAATTGCATGATCATGGGAGAATCGTCTTCTCTGATATTTGTGTCACTGGCAACAGAAGTTTCGGCACAAACAGAACCAAATTTGCTATAGGTGTGAAGAAGACATGCAAAGCACATGCATGTAAACCCCCACCATGAAGTAAGAATTTTGATTTGTTTTGATTACTGTTTCTCCCAAAGATGTACGTCTAAATTGAGTCAACAATGGTTTTTAATAGGTTTGAGTCGATGTCTGAAGCTACGACAAAAATGAGCATATAGCCTTAGGATTTTTTCGGATCAAAGGAGGAACATGTATCAAAACTACAGAGGACGTCAAACATGTATGTACCTCTCATCAAATATAATTTTGTGTGTCATATTTTACAGTGAAAATGAGAATAACGTAACTTATTCAAATTGTTTTTCACTTTCCTGTTTATATTGTGATCACTTTGGTTCTTTATGATCGATCTTATTACATGTTTTTTTATTCAGGACCAAACCATTACGTAGTAGTGAAGATATAGAATTGGGACCGAACCATAAGTGTGCTTAATTATTATTAGTAGTGGTATCTAATAACATGACTCACTCAAATGAGACATGTGTGGAGAGATTCTTAATTTCTTATGTTCGTGATTCGTGAAGATGTATGAATCACATTGTCTCTCAGTCATTTATGTATAATGTATATATTTAATATTTCTCTCATATTCCATGTTTTCTTATTGATTAGGATAATGCTGAAGAGTGAAGACAGATTGAAGAGTGGAAGCTGAACTATGAAACTAAAGCCATCATTGTTGGAAATTTCATAGTTTTTACCGTGCATTAGCACGGGTCTAATACTAGTGTGAAATATTGCGAAAGGTGAGAAAAACCCTCAAAATTCGACTTCTATATATTTATTTTCTTTGGAAATGAGTTAATAACCAAAAACTAGATTAAAAAAACAAACATAGTAAAACGAAACTATTTAAATCTTCAATGAATAATAACTTGAATTTTACATAAGCTAAAACGAAAAGACTACAGTTTAAACTAAACAAAAATAAAAAACCAATGTAGAAGATAATTTTAAAAATATATATATATATATACATATTTTGTAAATACTAGTGTTTATTCAATACCAATTTTTGATTATCTTTTATTTTATTCTCCTATTAATAATATCTTTTGAACAAAACAGCATAACCGTACTTCTCTTAAAAATCGGCCAATCGAAACCGAGATTTCTATTTTGAATTTGAAATAGAGAGAACCAAATCATCGAAATATCAACTGGCTATAGCCGGTATTTGATACTACTACTAATGACCCTCTAGTCTACAAGTTTTGTTTTACTGGCTATAGCCGGTTATCTTCAATCTGTCAAAAGGCGACAACAGCAACACATGCTTTTGAAAAACCCTAATTTTCAAATTTCGAACTAACGCTCTTCGTCTTCTGACTTCAATTTCCCACCCTCCTTTGAATCTCACTCACTGCCGTTGTTTCAGATTCTCTTTTCATTTCCAAGAGGATTCTTCGCTAATGGGAGCAGCTCACAGTCATGAAGATCTGGAGATCTGTTCCTCCGATGAGGATGAATATGATGAATACGAAGAAGGCAGAGAGGGCGAAGAAGAGGAAGACAAGTTCCAGGACTCCAGGGACGATACCTTAGGCATTTCTTCCTCCGGTGGTCGCCGCGGGCCTAATTCTCCTTCATCACTTGACGACGTTGAGGCAAAACTCAAAGCCCTGAAGCTGAAATACCCACCGACGCAAGCCCCCTCCTCTACCCAGAACTCAGCTCGGCTTTTCCGGTACATCAATGGAAACACTCCTAAAGCCAAATGGGTCACTGCTGAGAAGTTGACTGCTTATTGTTTCGTCAAGACTGACAAAGGTGATGAAGATGATGAGGATGACGATGTGAATGAAGATGTGGAAGACGAATGGTGGGTTTTGAAAGTCGGAAGCAAGATCCGAGAAAAGGTCTCCGATGAAATGCAATTGAAGGCGTATAAAGATCAACGCCGTGTTGATTTCGTTGCTAAAGCTGTTTGGGCTATGAAATTCGCCAGCAGCGAAGACTTTTCGTCTTTTGTTAGCAGCTACAACAATTGCTTGTTTGAGAACAACCATGGGGTTGAGTTGAATGAGGCCAATAAGGCGAAAATCTATGGGAAAGATTTCATTGGGTGGGCCAATCCTGAAGCTGCTGATGATTCCATGTGGGAAGACGCTGATGATATTTTGCTTCAAAGCCCGGGAGGATCTGCAACTCCGGCGAGAGATACACAGGATTTGACTGAGGCCTTTGAGGAAGCTACAAGTGAGGGCATACATAGCTTAGCTCTAGGTGCTCTAGATAATAGTTTTCTTGTTGGAGATTCTGGTATTCAGGTTTTCAAGAACATGAGGCAGGGGATTCAAGGCAAAGGTGTTTGTGTTAACTTTGAGCCTGGTTATGGCCGGGCTCACTCCTCAGCACCCAAGAAGGCTCTTCTCATGAGGGCTGAGACTAACATGCTGCTCATGAGTCCTATGAGCCAAACGCCTCATTCACGAGGAATCCATCAGCTCGACATTGAAACCGGGAAGGTTATTTCGGAGTGGAAGTTTGAGAAAGATGGAGTGGATATCTCTATGAGTGACATTACTAATGATGGTAAAGGTGCTCAATTGGACCCATCTGCGTCAACTTTTCTCGGTCTGGATAACAATAGGCTTTGCAGGTGGGATATGCGTGACCGTTATGGGATGGTTCAGGATCTTGCTACTGCTAATACTCCAGTCTTGAATTGGGCACAGGGGCATCAGTTTTCTAGAGGGACTAACTTCCAGTGCTTTGCAACTACTGGTGACGGCTCAATTGTTGTTGGCTCTCTTGATGGCAAGATTAGACTCTACTCTAGCAACACTATGAGGCAGGCAAAGACGGCTTTCCCTGGACTTGGTGCTCCTGTAACTCATGTGGATGCTACATTCGATGGGAAATGGATAGTTGGTACAACTGATACATATTTGATTGTCATCTGTACCCTTTTCACTGACAAAAGTGGCAAAACAAAGACAGGCTTTGAGGGTCGCATGGGAAATAAGATTGCCGCACCAAGGTTGCTTAAGTTGAGACCTCTTGATGCCCATTTGGCTGGATCTGACAACAAGTTCCGCAATGCTCAGTTTTCTTGGGTAAGCAAAACTCTAGTTGCAGTTTATATTCGTGCTGGCAAAGTGGCATTCTTTAAATTTTCATGTTTTTCTCATAATAGTTGATTCCTGACTCTTGTTATCAATCTTTTCTTGTTGAAAATTGTGATATAGGTCACGGAGGATGGGAAACAGGAGCGTCATGTGGTAGCAACTGTTGGAAAGTTCAGTGTGATATGGAACTTTCAGCAAGTGAAGAATGGATCTCATGAATGCTACAATGATCAAGAAGGGCTGAAGAAATGCTACTGCTACAAGATAGTCCTTCGAAATGAATCTATTGTGGACAGTCGCTTCATGAATGACAACTTTGCATCTGGTTCACCTGAAGCGCCTTTGGTCATTGCAACTCCCATGAAAGTCAGCTCTTTCAGCTTATCCAGCAAGCGATGATACAAGCAAGTGATGGACCACAAGTTACATAGTCTGAATTCTAGTCTGTTTGTAACCATGTGAAATTTCAATGTTCTGGAATTTAGTACGCTGTTAGATTCAGAGAATAGACATGTGATGATGTTGCTAAATTTCATTGGTTTGTCTTTGACTTTTCAGATCGTATTGTAGACGTTTCGGTTTTCCGTTTTCACTTAAATGAGGTGATGTTTCGAAGATGTAGCATGAAGATAGCTTTTCCAATTCATTTGCCAGAAAAATATTCAATGTTGCATTTTTACCTAGTTTTCTTATTAAGATTCAAGGTCCAAGAAAATATATTGAAGTTTGTATATTTTTTCTTTACTGAGTTTTGCTGAGTTATGGTATTATCAGTGCATAATTCCTCAACTTTTTTCCATGTTTCGAAACTAGTGTGTTCGAAGTTAGTATCTTAGGCCACAAATTCAGGTTTAGCAAATGTGTATCACAGAAACAAACCAGCTATTATAGTATAGAATTATTTCAGACATGTTTAAAAGCTGAGGAACTTTAACTCTTCTATTATAGTATAGATTTATACATTTTAGAGTTTTCACGATCAACTTCTTCACATCAAACTCACTTATGTGACTTTTTCTTCATCAAGAACATTAAAAATCTTGGGAAAAGTTTCTTCTTTTTCTTTCCAGGATTAGCCTGTGGGACTGGATTTGTTTCTGTTCTGTTTGACTCATTAGTCTCAGCTTCTTTCTCCTTCGACCCTTCAATGCTTTTTCCGTGACTTTTTTCTATCTTCTCTTCATTATCGCCAGTCTTTCTTATTTTTTCATGTTCTTCCCTCCATTTTCTCAGCTCTTGTTCTGCACCCAACTTCCCTTCTTTAGCCTTCTCAGCCTTCTCCATTGCTCCTGCTAGTGTTTCCTTACTTTCGGTCATCTCTTTGTTTACTTCTTCCAACTTCTCTACACTCCTCTTTTCTGTTTCTTTTGCTTCCTCGACCTTAGAAACCGCTGCTGCAACTCTTGCGTTGGCTTCTTCTTCAGCCTCATGAGCACGCTTGCTAAGCTCATAGTACTCCTCTATTGTCAGTGTTACTGTTCTCGGAGAATCAACAGAATTGTCCTTTGAACTAGATTCACTCTCTTGCAAGGCCTTGATGGCAGCTAATGCCAGCCTTTCTGAAGCTTTAATAGCCTCAATTTCTTTCTGCGCTGCAAATAATCTGCTCTCCATTGTACTTGCTCCAGCCTTTGCTTGTTCTGCTTCTTCTTGAGACTTTCGCAGCTCTTCGCGAGCAAGTTCAGCAAATGATTTCGCTTCATCAGCCTCTTGACTAGCTTGTTGCAGTTGCTTTGGTAGCTCCACCATTTCTTCTCTGGCTTCTTTTTCCTTGGACTCAGCCAAAGCTATTTCGGACCTCGTTAGGTCTATCTCAGCTTCTAGAGAAGCAACCGTTATTGATGCCATCCCTTCTCTTTGTTTTATTGAGTCAAGTGCTGATTTCTCTTTCTCAATTTCCAACCTCAAGGAAGATGATGCTACCTTTAAGCAATTCACTTCGGAATTTGCTTTCTCTACATTTGCATTCACTTCTTCAAGTTCCTTCTTTGCAGAAGCAACAGCCTTTTGTATATCTGTTTTGTTTTTTTCCTGTAATGAAATCTCATTGTTTGCTACCGAGTAACCTGTGTCCTCCTTCAACTTGGATGATTCCATATGATCTGCCAATTCTTTCTTCAAATCAAGCAGCAGGGCTGAAGCAAATTCAAGTTTCACTTTTAGTTCCTTCGTAGAAACTATATGCTGCTGAAGTCTTTGGAGTTCCTCTTCTGCTTGCTTTAGTTCCTTCTCCCACCGATAAGTCTCCTGATCTCGCAACATGGCTGCTCCTATCTTGAGTTCTTCCGCCTCCAAATGAGAAGAATGCGAACATTCCAGTGCCTCCTTTGTAGCTATCAACTCAATAGTGAGTTCTTCAACTTTCCTCTCAACTTCTTTAGAAGCAGTAACCGCTTCTTCGGCTTCCTTCACAGCTAACTCTTTTTCTTTTACCAAAGCATCATACTCCTTTTGTAGATTTTGTAGCTCTTCCGTGACAGATTCCAATTCTGAAATCGCTGATGTATGTCTTGCCTGAGCCACTTCAAGCTGTGCTTTAGCTGCAACACTAGCTTCATCAGCAATTCCTTGTTCCATCTCTTCAACTCTCATCTTCGCAAGCTCAGAATCCTGCTTTGCTTGCTTTTCTTCTGTTTCAGCTTTTTCAAGATTAAGCTTCAACTCTTCTATGAGTCTCTTTGTGCTCTCTAGCTCCTCAACCGCTAGCATTTTTGACATCTCGACCATATCTGATTTCTTTTTGTATTCAGGAATCTCGTCCTGGATCTTGTAGAGCTCTTGTTCCACAAACTTGCGTCGCTGCAATGAAAACAGTGAGCAAAACTCTAGGCCACTAAAAAGGCAAAGAAGTCAGATATAACACACAAGTAAATTTACCTCTAATACTTGCATCCTATGTGCTTTCCAATCAGTAATTCCCCCAAATTTTGAGACGGCTTCTTTAACAGATTCAAAAGGTGATGCTGTATCAATCAAGTCTCTATAAGAATCCATGCTTCTGGGTGTTCCATTGCTCAGTGGTGATGATGATCCTGCAAACCTCGGAGACAGGAGTGCTCTCGGAGATCCAATGCTTCTTGGGGAAGACATAGATCTTGGAGACAATCCATTTCTTGTTGTGCGCTCTGCTCCATACTTAGTGTTTACGCGAGGCAGGAGAAACTCAACAGAGGGGGAAACAGGAGTAGGAGTAGTTTGGGAATCTTGTGTTTCTTCAACTTGAGAGTTTGATAAACTGGAGGGTAAAAAAGTGTCATCCAGATAAGTTTTCCCATTTTCTGTTGAATCTTCACATTGAGATTGTTGAATGGCTTCATTGTTTTCGAGTATTGTTGGTATTGCTTGAGGTTGCTGCAACTCAGACCGTATAATTTCACCATTGTCACTCACATTTGAGGTCCCAGTAGAATCTTCTGGAGGAGATACTGCTTCTGCTGTCTTCAAGTCCTCCATTGGAGGATTCCTAGAAATCAAAACTTACAGGAGGAACACTAAAACGATTGAACGAAGATCGCCACCAAAAGGAAGAATCAATGAACAAAAAAAAGCTTACCAGAGGAAGTTAAAACGAAGAAAAATATATGATTTATTGATATTCGGATTAAGAAGTTCTTTTTAGACAAGAAAAGAGAGGTACACAATTGGAAAGCCTGTAATTAGAATAAGACAAAGGAAACAAAAGAAAGATGAACGGACACACCTCTCTTTTTCTCTTTTCCCTCCGTTTTTTTAGTTCCTATTATTTTAGAATTCTAGTGTGTCATGTTCCATTACATAACAGAATTAACAGACCAGATCTTAACTAACATCCTCGATCCACTTGTAAGAAACCTAATAAATATACTCTCCTAATAATCGTGTCGCTTCGTTTAGAATGTGATGTATACAACCTGACTCTGGATGATACCCGATCATAACTCATTGTCAGAAACAGGAAACAGACATTTGATCATTGACGTCTATATATAGCTTTCTCTCCACACAAAAACATGATTTCTCAAACAATATTCGACGTGGACCATGAGTTTTTTTGGTAAGCCACAAGTGTTTTAACACAATCAACAAAACAACAGAACATTCTATTTTCGTATACATCTGTGCCAAAGATGTTAGCATCTTTGGTACGGTACTTCAAGTTCCAAGACTCTCAAAATGGTAACACAACTGAATAAAACCAAAACTAACTCCTATTTTTCCCATCAATCTTTCCACATGGGTTCTGCTCAAGTAGCCGTTACAACACCTGAAACCCATGGAACGATTGAAGGCGCTTTTGGGTGGTTGTTTCTGTATGTCTCAGAATATCTGTCTTTAAAATTCTGTTTTGGCTTCTCTGCCTGCAATTTACATAGACATGATTTGTATGAGACAAGCTTCCAATCCAACTTGGACGAGTAATCTCAAGAGTACTCAGAATTGGGTAAACTAGTAAGTGAACAAGGTAAGTTCTTACGTATTTAAGCCAACATTCCTGATGTTTATGCTCATAAATATCCGGCGAGAAGCAACCAAACTCAGATGGGCAATAAACCCAAATGTTGCATCTCGTTTCTCCAGGTTTCGCACGCCTTGCCTGGTCTAAGCAAGCCTGGCAACAATCAGCTGCACTCTCTTTATGATGTGTAAGTCCCCATCTCACTGCAGCACCACCATAATCTGTGTGAAGCTCTGCATTACATACAGCTGGCACTGGTCTGCCTGCTAATATCTCCTCTGTAAGGAAAAAATGTGCAATCTCACCAGTGTCAGCAAACGTTTTCCACCCAAATAACTGCAAAAGCAGAGATCAGGAATCTAGAATTTTTTTGAGAAATATTACCAGGCTCTTCCTCTCCTTCAGGTTTATCATCGTGTTCTTCATTTGTAACCTCAGCAGGTAACCAGAAACCGATCTCTTCAGACAGCACATCCCACTCCAACTCCAAAGCTCTTACAAGCATCCCTAGAGAGTTACAGAACAAAAAAATTTGCCCTCAAATTATATAGAACAATGAAAGAGTATCCGGAGGATTTCATAAAATGAATATTTGCTCAGGTTCAGAAACTCAGTAATCTCTCTTAAGGAAAATACCTGCTTCTTCCAATATGAGAGTTGAGTTTACCCCATTTTGTCCTTGAATCAGCTCTTTAACTTCCTTCAGCTTCTCATTGCGCCACATTTCTACAGTTTCTGTTTGCCAAGTGATGATAATAAGGTATTAAGCTTAAGGACATGGATGACATGAATGTGCCAAAGTAAAAAACTATGTTAGGAGATAACAGGAACAGGTCTACATGCATTACTACTTCAGTACTTGCTAGCACCATAACGGGAAAATATCTTTTAGAACTCAGCTTGAAGCATCATAAAGCAATATAATGACAAATGTAACTCTTCATAGGTGGATATCATGACAGTCACGATATCTTGAGCATATATTTTCTGATGCAGCACAAAGGCATTAGAGAGGCGTGTTAAGACACATTAAAATGTTATGTAAGCTAAATCTAAAGAATATAGAAAAGATTTATGTATCAAATATCACCATTGCTAGGATGAGGCCCTTTTGTGACTGACATGTACATTCATTTACATAGCATATGAACTCATCAATGCAGAGAAATAGAACTTAAGTGTTAGAGCTTATGTTCCACGAACGTGATGAAACAACACAAGAACAAATAGGAAAATTAGGCATGAAAAATCTCCATTGAAGAAACCCGTTGATTTTGAAAAAAAAAAAAAAGAAACCCGTTGATTCTTGGTTATCAATCAATTGTACTGTCTAGTATGTGAAATAGCATGCAGAAAGGTCTGAAAATTCCTTAGCAGATAGATCAGGAAAAGTCATGAAACGTAAGTTTTTGGCAATTTGAAAATAAATGTGATGACTTTTATATTTGACACTGATTGTGAAGCTAATGAGGATAGTATAGTATCAAAACAGAGATCCATTTTTCTTAAGTAGGAATAGCACAAACCTCTGAGCAGGGTAACATTCGACTTCTCCTCTAAAGTTTTCAAACGCTGCAGGATCTCATCAACTAGTTTATGTTTAACATTAGGAGACAGTTCAGTATTTGATTGTGCAGCGGCGACCTCATGTTTCAGCTTCTTCACCTAAATGGTTCGAAGAGCAATGAAAAGGCAAACATAAGGAGAATCAATTTCACCTATCTGAGGAAATAGAGTTCCATTAAAAGCCAGTAACACTAACCAATTGAACAAGCTCGGTAGGTTCTTTTGATCTTCGAATCCGAATAGATTCCTCCATTTTCCTAATCTCATCTGCTGTGTACTTAACAACTGGATACACAAAAACCAAAAGCTCTTGTCATTATTTATCAATGATGGCGAAATCGGAGGAAAACAAAAAAAAAAACAGAAAACAGAAAAGAAAGAGAAATAAAGAAGGAACCATTATCGTTATTGGAATAGATGTGGAGAGAAGAAGAATAGAGAAAGCGAAGAACAAAGAGAGCGATGAGAATGTAGAAAAAACAAACGAGTAGAGTGATTCTTTTGAAAGAGAGAACTCCGCTTCCGGCGATCCCCCCTCCGGTCCATTCTCCTCCTCCCCTCGCCATCTCCACACCGCCGTCATCCCACCATTTTCAAGATCTCAGCTTCGATTACTAACTAGTACTGCCAACAACAGTCTATGCTTCAAATCGAGGACACTTGAAGATTCGATTTCCCGGCGGAAAAAGTAAATCGTGGGAGAGAGATAGAGAGACGGGGAATTTATATAATTTTATTAATTTCTTCTTTTGAGCTAATTTACAAACCGAAACCTTCTTCTTCCCTTTTTTATTTAACTCGACCGACCGAGGCAAACAACAACAAGTCAACCTATACGTGTGTGTGGTGTGGGTATAAAAAGCGCATCCTATAGATTTTATGTAAATAAATAACTTTTTTGAGTTTGCGAAGAAAAATTAAAATGAAAATATTGGTCACCGGCTCTACTGGTTACTTAGGCGCACGACTGTGCCACGCTCTCCTCCGTCACGGCCACTCCGTACGCGCCTTAGTCCGCCGCACCAGCGATCTCTCTGATTTACCTCCAGAAGTAGAGCTAGCTTACGGAGACGTAACGGACTTCCGTTCACTAGCGGATGCTTGCTCCGGCTGCGATATTGTTTTCCACGCTGCGGCTGTTGTCGAGCCTTGGCTTCCTGATCCTTCTGTATTCTTCTCAGTAAGCTTGCTTCTGTTCCACATGTTAACTTTTAAGTTCTATTGCGAGTGAACGCCGGAGAGATCATGGGTTATGGTGATTTTGAAGCTTAGGTCAACGTTGGTGGACTGAAGAACGTCTTGGAAGCAGTTAAGGAGACGAAGACCGTGCAGAAAATTATCTACACTTCTTCCTTCTTCGCTCTTGGTTCTACCGATGGATCTGTTGCTGATGAGAATCAAGTATGTTGTTTCTAATTTCATGAATTTTGTTTGTTGTGTTTTATTTGATTTTTGATCGGAGTCTAATTGGCTCTGGTCTTGAGATAAGGTTCACAGTGAGACGTTTTTCTGCACGGAGTATGAGAGATCCAAGGCTACTGCTGATAAAATTGCTCTGAATGCTGCTTCTGAAGGTGTCCCGATAACTTTGCTGTATCCTGGTGTTATCTATGGTCCAGGAAAGCTCACTACAGGCAATATGGTTGCTAGATTGGTATCATTCTCTTTTCATTTCGTCAATCTTTTCTTTTTTGCTGGTTATAGATGCGTTGGTAGGATGATGAAGTGATAAGGTTTTCTGAATTTGATTTCCTTTTTATTTGCCACAGTAACATTGAAAGTATTGAAACCTGTCAAGATCCATTTACCTTTGTGGTTGATTATCACTTGAGCCTTCTGATTCTTTTATTGAACTGGATAGTGAATGTTTGTCATTCCAATTGTGGTTTATTAGGGTTGAATTCTTTCATTGGGATTAACTTACAACCCATAGTTAGACTCACCAAATGTTGTTCTTCTAGTTAATCGAACGCTTCAACGGGAGATTACCTGGATATATTGGCTCTGGGAATGATAGATACTCCTTCAGCCATGTTGATGATGTTGTGGAGGGTCAGGTTGCTGCAATGGAAAAAGGGAGGCTTGGTGAAAGATACTTACTCACCGGGGAAAATGCTTCTTTCAAGCTTGTCTTTGACATGGCTGCACTGATTACTGGAACCAAGAAACCAAGCTTCAGCATTCCATTATGGGCAATCAACGCATACGGATGGGTATCTGTTCTAATCTCTCGGGTTACAGGAAAGCTTCCACTTATCAGTCCTCCGGTGAGTTTCAATTGCGTTTATTAGTTGCCAACATATTATAGATTATCTTATTTGCTATAGGATAATCTTAAGTCGTAGTAATATGTAATGAACAGACAGTCACAGTGCTGAAACATCAGTGGGCATACTCTTGTGACAAGGCTAAGCTAGAGCTTGGTTATAACCCTCGGAGCCTAAAGGAAGGACTGGAGGAAATGCTCCCTTGGTTGAAGAGTTTAGGCGTCATTCGATACTGAAATCAAGATTACCAATCTTCCAGGTATTTCCAAGAATAATAATTTCCCGTGAATTCAATGTTTCTTCAGTATGATGACTACATTATTACTGTCACCTTTACACTTTTAACCCAATCGATCAATTTCTTACTACAAAACTGCTTTGGTTCAATCTTCTATGTCGAACAAATGTGAAACATGTTATATGCAAATGCCGATGATCAGGTGTTAAGAACTCAAATTTTTCAACTTCACTTACTTATCCTATTACTAAAGTTCAACAATCAATTTTCTTGGATCGATAGTGTGTCGTTGCGGATTTATAGTAGGGTAAATAACAGAAACTTGTGGGAGCTGCATTTTAAAAGGCTGTGAGTGCGAAAGAGGAATATGTAAATGTGGGAATATCACATTTTATTTGCCAAGAACTATATATATGATTTACATCTATAGATTATAAGTTCAGAAGATATATATACTAAGTATGCATTTAGTTTGGTCATGATGCGTTTGCTCTTTTAGTATAACCACTTTATTGTAGCTGCATGGCCGTTGGTAGTCACTAGTCAGTTAATGCTGTTCACAGAAGAAATAAAAGAGAGGTCAATTAGTTTAGTTAGAAGCTCTGAGAAATACACATGTCTTCGCAATAAATACATAGATACTGCAATATGCCTACCTGTTACAGTCCACGGTCTTAGAGAAAGGGACTCCCAAATTAACACCACATTTAGAAGGGAGTTGTTTGGCATAATCATCATTAATTCCGGGGATTGTATTAGCCACACTCTTCAAGCAATTGCATGCTACTTGTCTATCGGGTTTCGCAGGAGCAGCGGCTTTTAGACTATTAAGCCCGTTGCAGCACATTGCGGAAGGAGTTCCTCCAGCTTTTAGATAAGGCAAACATTGTGCTAAGTACATGTTTACCTGCGGGCATGCTATGGCGTCTCCATGATACGCAATCATCATTAAAATTGTAATGACAAGCAGTAACACTGTTCGGGTTGTAGTAGTAATGTTCCTCATTTTTTCCACTTATTGATTTCTAACAATTATGTTTCGATTTGTTTTCTATATGATCTGTTTTTCGTGATATAGTTTATTTATATGGGGAGAAATCTGAAAGAATAAAAATGTTGTCGACATGTATTTTAAGTGACAACGCTTTTTGTAAGTCATGTATTTAGAGTGGTGTGGAAGTTGAAAAGAGAAAGCTTTATGAGAATTGCCTTCCCAAACGATGTAAGATTGCTTTCATATGTAGTGAAAAAAAAACTCAAACATTAGGGATCAAATGTGTATTTTTTTAAATTCTTATTGGCTCTACTTTAAAAGTTAAGCCACCTTAAAAAGAAAAACTAATCAAGGCGACAAGGCCACTAATTTCATAAAGGTATTGTTTAAAATATTGTCGAAGGAGTCATTAGGTGTCATAGTGAAAGAAACAAAAGCCCAAATAGAACCCAAATATGAGTCTGAGCCTTTCTTCACTCTCTTCTTAGTAAGTGTTGTTGTTACTTTGGAGAGTTTTGTTCAATTGCTTTCTGCAAATCGAAAATGGAGTCATCAGTAAAACCCAATCCGTTGCTCTCCTTCTCCTCTTTCCTTCACCACCACTGTACCCGTCTCAGCTCCGACTTCTCCGCCCGAATCGAAGACACCAAACGATTCGCCGAAACCCTAGCTTCTCGACGTTTCTCTCTTACTCCTCCGCCACCGTTCGCCTCCGTCTCGCAATCCAAGTCCGGAACCCCGACGAAGACGACGTTGAATCCATCCCTCGTCGCTAAAGCTCTCGCTGGCACGTCGGTGTTTACTGTCAGTAACACCAACAACGAATTCGTTCTTATCTCGGATCCTACCGGCGACAAGTCTATTGGTTTGCTCTGTTTTCGACAAGAGGATGCTGAAGCTTTTCTTGCTCAGGTTCTCCCTCTTTCTTCTGAAAGGGATTTTTTAAAATAAAAAAATAGGAAGTTTGTGTACTCTTAAGTCTCTTATAATCTATTTTTTAGGCGCGACTTCGGAGAAGAGAATTGAAAACCAATGCAAAGGTTGTTCCCATTAATCTGGACCAGGTAGTTCCTTTTTCCCTTTGATCATTTGCATTATAACAATGTGGAAGCCATTGGTTGATTCAATTGGTTAGGGACATTGGAACATATGAAACAAACAATATTTCTTGGGACTATTTCTTACGAGGTTATGTGATCAGGAGTTCAGTCTACTGGTTTATAAATTTTTGGTAATACTGTAATAAAAACTCAGATGGGGAGTTTGGAAACATGAATTGGAGATTGAGTTCTTAACATTGTGACGGCTATTTTCAGCACGAAATAATGCAAAGAGTGGTTGCATGATGATCATTGGTCTAATATTTGGCTTGGAACTTACATTTTACATTAGGGAAAGTTTGTATGTTATCTGTATGATCTTCGTATTACATTCATGTGTTGTAGTAGGAAGTTGAATGTCTTTCCCTCAAGTTTAAAGAAAATTGTTTTGACAGGTCTACTTGTTAAAAGTTGAAGGGATTTCATTTCGTTTCTTGCCAGATCCAATCCAAATAAAGAATGCTTTGGAGGTTGGCTTATGCTTAAAAGCTTTTCAATCATACAGTTCTCAAAACAGCTATTTTTCATTTCAATCTTGTTCTAAAGCTATATTTTCTTGCGTCCCAGCTCAAATCCTCAGGTAATAAGAATGGGTTTGATGGAGTTCCTGTTTTCCAGGTAAATTTGCTCTACATGTTTTCTGTGTTTCTCATTCTCTATCCAATAAATATTCCTTATGTTTTGGTGTTTTTTGTTTTGTTTTTTTCTTGTAATTTCCCTATGCAGTCTGAGCTTCTTGTTGTGAGGAAAAAGAATAGACGTTACTGCCCTGTATATTTCAGTAAGGTTGGTTAGTTTCTTCTTGCACATTACGAATATCCTAAAACCCAAAACAGAGGGAGATTATTTTTACTTCACTATTGCTGAAAATCAAGTTCCAAATTGCGACTCTCAGGAAGATATAGAGAGGGAACTTTCGAAATATACAAGAGCATCAAGAGGAGATCAACAAATTATGGTAATGATTCCAAACTGTTCCAAATTACATTGTATTTGGAATAGGCCACTTAAGTTAGAAACACCTCAAACTAAAGATATGTGATTTAGTAAATAAGTGAGAGTAGCTAGCTAGTAGCTGCATGCATGGACATCATATGTGATTTCTTGAAATTATCGTGCTGACATGTTATGCGTTCATGCTCTGTCTGTTTATAACACTATGTTTTCAGAGGAAGTACTACCAACGAAAGGGAAAATATTTAGAAAACCGTAGAAAGAGCAAAATTCAGATTGTACATCCCTTATTCATATATAACGAGGTTGGAACTAATCTCATCCTGCGCAGGTTGGAAGTCTGGAAGATGTGTTGAGGAAAATGGAGGTACTCACTCTTCTTCATTGTTTAAAGAAACCGAAAAATATGAAGGCAAAAAAGCCCGGTAACCTAATAAAAAATCTGAATTGAATAAATGTAGAGGAGCGAGAAGAATTCAGGGTGGGAAGATGTGATATTCATTCCACCGGGAAGAAGTTATGCACAACACATGCAGGAGGTGATCAAAGAGTAGTAGTCATATGATGAAAGACGGACACAATGTGTGTGTGTATTTTTACTTGATAAGAAAAGGAAAAAAAACAGCTTCTTCTGAGATTTTGCAATATTATCATTTGCCCAAAGAGCTCAAACACACACAGTTCCAACAATCTTTTTCACTTAACACATCATCAGTATGTATACATGGTTCTTCTTACATACCAAACCGTATAATTGTAGAATAAATAACACAATCCTAGTTTGTTTGTTTAAATTAAGATGTAATCCATGTTTCATTAGATTAAATCAGCCAAATTTAATCAAAGGAGGTAGAGGCACCTAAAATGATATGTTGGTTTAGGCTAGTTATGATTAACTTTGGTTGGCATACGATCAAACTACGATGTCTTACCATTCCTTGTAATCATTGTTTCTTTCTTCTCATCATAATTTCTTTGACATCTCAACCTGAAATCTATGATAATGTGATTGCGATGAACTCATTTATGATTAATTACTGTTTTAGAAAAAATGAAGTAAGAAAAAGAAAAGGAGAGATGAGGATGAGATTGTTTGAAAAAGCACCGTCCGAACTTTCCTGTAAGCGTAAGTAACCGATACTGACAGGAGAACTAAACATGTTGCTTGCCTTGACTTCATCCGTAGCCATATTATCATTCTCACCTACTAATCTAATCTCTATATTTCTTACCAAGAATGTGGATTTCGATTCAAATTACTGGTTACTAATAACTAACTAATAAGTATATATGATTTTCACATATGTATTACCAAACATATATTAACACATATCGACTTGAACTTAAACTAAGACAGTATCGATGATATTAACATTTGAAAAAAATTCTTAAGAAAGTAGAAGTTTATAAAGTGTTCTTTCTCGGAATAAGCATGTTCCATCTTGAACCTTTTATACCATAAAATTTCTTAGAAGCATCATTATGATCTTTTTTGTACCAATTTTTTAAAAGTTGTAGTTGGTGGAGGTTTTTTTGAACAAATCTCTAACAAGTCTTTATTTTCTCACAATTATTGCAACGTTTTCTGAACATCAACAAATTGTGGAAATATATAGTTTATACATACCTTTGATGACATTTCCTTTTATTTTAATTGATTTATATATGACAACCGCTTTTCTTGTATAATTATGTATTTTGGCTGTTGTAGTGTCTCCATCATATGTATTATGTAACATGTTGATCTGGGAACTTATGTAACAGTGCGCATTTACGATTTGCCTCATTAGTTACCAAAATATGCGAATAGATAAAGTGGTAACAAAAGCACCATAAATAGTACCATACTAGTATATCCAAATAACGGTAGAGAACAATGCTGAAGGGAAAAACTTTTGGGGGTTGTGCATAGCTAGGATGAGATAAAGTGATATGTTGTAGGTAACAGAAAGAAAAAAAACAAAGGTGTGGTTTAATTCTATTACTATAATATATTTTGGTCCCATATATGAAGGTGAGAGAGCAAATACGTAGCTTAAGACATACGTATGGTAAGGCAAACACATGTCATTATGTGTATCCCATCCACCCAAAATCGTTGGCGACATATCTTTGTTTATTAATAGTCCATCAAGGCTTGTGTTTGAGTAAAGAAAATCTCTTGATACACGTCCAATGAAATCTTCTAGATGTCTTTTTATTTCTTGTTTTACTCAAAAAAAACTCAACCTCTACTTATATATATAGTACTAATTAGTAATTACCATTTTTCCCCCCTCTTCACACGCGCGGTTCGTATATATATCAAAAATAATCCTAAATACAATTTACTTTAAACCTTTCGAACATTTTGATTTAGGAGTATATATATAGATTGCAGATGAAAGAGAAATGTTTGTCAATGAAAAACGAGAGGACGATGATAATGAAGATGGCTCCATCTAAATCCGCACTGATACGCTTCAATCTAGTCTTGTTGGCTTTCTCTTTTCTTCTCTATACTGCCTTTTTTCTCCACCCTTCTTCATCAGTCTACTTCAGCAGCGCTGCTTCCTTTTTTGGATGCTCTTTTCGTGATTGCACTCCCAAGGTAAGGTGAGTTTTCCTTTTGATTTTGATATATATAACGGGGTAAATTTTAATACTGAAACTCAGACTAATAGGTATTGCTGCTATTTGCTCAGGTGGAGAGAGGAGTGAAGATGCAAGAACTCGTTGAAGAGAACCAAATAAACAAGATAGATTTTCCAACCGCTAGTAACCAAACCAAGCTGGAGGCGCCAAGCTTCATGGAGGAGATTCTAACAAGAGGGTTAGGGAAAACAAAGATAGGGATGGTGAACATGGAAGAATATGATCTTACTAATTGGATACGTTATGGGGAAGCGGTTCACATACATTTTGAGCGTGTCTCTAAGCTATTCAAATGGCAAGACTTGTTCCCCGAGTGGATAGATGAAGAGGAAGACACCGAGGTTCCTACATGTCCTGAGATACCGATGCCAAATTTCGAAAGCTTGGAAAAATTGGATTTGATAGTAGTTAGGCTGCCTTGTAAATACCCTGAGGAAGGGTGGAGAAGAGAGATTTTGAGGTTGCAAGTGAACCTAGTTGCGGCTAACTTGGCAGCCAAGAAAGGGAAGACGGATTGGAGATGGAAAAGCAAAGTGTTGTTTTGGAGCAAATGTCAACCGATGATTGAGATTTTCCGGTGTGATGATTTGGAGAAGAGGGAGTCAGATTGGTGGTTGTATCGGCCTGAGGTGGTTAGGCTACAACGTAAGCTTAGTTTGCCTATTGGATCTTGCAACCTTGCTCTTCCTTTGTGGGCATCACAAGGTAACATTTATTTAGTTTTTTTTTTTTTTTTTAGCATTGGCAAATTATCTTAATCACTAAACTCGTTTAATTTTTTTTGGGTTGAATTAATTGGATTAATTTTTTTCCAAGTTAATTAAACTAACCAAAAAGAAAATATATATGTCGAACTGAACTTGAAATCGAATTAACCGCGATTTGCGGCGCAAACGTAAAAAAATGATCTATAGTCGGAATTGTGTCAGATGAACTATGAAGTGACTAAGACATTGTAACATAAAAAGACTTGCTTACGTGAAACTGATGTGAATGGTACCAACTCGAAATGTTTCGTTATACTTTGCTTATAATTGATTGGTGTGTGTTAATTAGATATGTTAGTGGTTGGTGTTTTAGGTATGTCTTTTAGCTAACCACCAAATATGAATTGTCATACAAGCTACCTTACATTTTTAAGGCGATATTTAGAATCTTAATTATCTTTTCAAAATAACATTATTCGTTTGGTAGATTGAATTGATACTTAGTTAATTGGCTTGTGGTTTAAGTTAACTAATGGTCATCGAATAAGGTTTATAATAGCTTATACTGTATATACTAACTTATTCAACTCTATGTATGTATTATTGTCTTTGTTTGTTTGTCAACTAATATTACTACTTACTAGATATGATTGTTCATGCGATAGTTCAATTTCTGATCACAAAATGCTATTTCGCCCTTGAATATTGAGTTTGATATAACCATTCATCCATGCATAGTAGTAACTAAATTAATTAAATTTGATAACAATAACTGAAACCTAATACATTATTATCCCAAAAAAAAGCAGGTGTAGACAAAGTGTATGACCTAACAAAGATAGAAGCAGAGACAAAACGACCAAAACGTGAAGCCTACGTAACCGTCCTCCACTCTTCCGAGTCTTATGTCTGTGGTGCCATAACTTTGGCTCAGAGCCTCCTTCAGACAAACACCAAACGCGATCTCATCCTTCTCCACGATGACTCCATCTCCATTACCAAACTTGGAGCTTTGGCCGCCGCAGGATGGAAGCTTCGTCAGATCATCCGGATCAGAAACCCACTTGCGGAGAAGGACTCGTACAACGAATATAACTACAGCAAGTTTCGACTGTGGCAATTGACAGATTACGACAAAGTGATCTTCATTGACGCTGACATCATCGTCCTACGTAACCTTGATCTTCTCTTCCATTTCCCTCAGATGTCAGCCACCGGGAATGATGTATGGATATTTAACTCCGGCGTCATGGTCATTGAGCCTTCTAATTGTACGTTTAGTACGATCATGAGCCAACGAAGCGACATCGTTTCTTACAACGGCGGAGATCAAGGGTAAGTATTATTTTAGTATTACAAAGTGTTGAATTATAACTTAATATTTAACTTTAATATTGTCACATGAAATATTTTCAGGTATCTAAACGAGATATTCGTGTGGTGGCACCGATTGCCTCGACGAGTAAACTTTCTAAAGAACTTCTGGTCGAACACAACCAACGAAAGAAACATCAAGAACAACCTCTTTGCGGCCGAGCCGCCTCAGCTCTACGCGGTCCACTACTTAGGTTGGAAACCATGGCTTTGCTACAGAGACTACGACTGCAACTACGACGTGGACGAGCAGTTGGTGTACGCTAGCGACGCGGCGCATGTTAGGTGGTGGAAAGTGCACGATTCCATGGACGAAGGGTTGCAAAAGTTTTGTAGGCTGACGAAGAAGAGGAGGACTGAGATCAACTGGGAGAGAAGGAAAGCAAGGCTTAGAGGTTCCACTGATTACCACTGGAAGATCAACGTTACTGATCCAAGACGACGTCGTTCCTTTCTGATTGGTTAAACTTTTTTTTTTCATTTTTTTTTTACAATTTAGAGACAATAACGATACCAATATTTTACAAATTGTCCCTTCTTTTTGTATCTGTGTATAGACCATGTCTACGAGAATCTTACAGTTATTTTGAGCTACATTTTCATCTTTATTTCAAAACTGTGTTATACTCTTCCTTTTATTATTACTTTTTTGTGAAAAAAAAAAAATTAAAGAGAAGTTTAAAAAAAAAAATTCTTTCAATGTTTTTTTTTCTTTGACCACGAAACACACTTTCTGCTCTCTCCAATGTCCCTGTTCTCAATTTTGTTTCTTCTCTCCTTAAATTTTTCAAAATTTGTAATAAAAATTGCTAAAAACCTATTACGAATTATTTTCATTAGAGGTGGTCTTAGAACCCGTATGAAAAACTACCATGGACATGGTCTTATATACTAAAAATTATTCAACTCTTTATGTATGTATTTGTTTGTTTGTCAACTGAGATTACTAGATATATGTATATATATATATATATATATATATATATAATTA